TGGCGCCCCATCCTGGGTTGTTCCCTGCCTTGTGCTCTGTGATGGGTTGGCGCCCCATCCTGGGTTGTTCCCTGCCTTGTGCCCTTAGCTTCCAGGATAAGCTCCATACCCCCACAATCCTGTATAAGACCTGTGGCCATGGAAAATGGACATTTACATAATGTATGTTGAAATTCATTAAATTACTAAATGTATATTGACTGTAAATGTTTTATTGTGGGACACATGAATCAGAGCATGGTTGCTACATGTATATGAAAACAGAAAACCATTCGATCATTTCAAAATGAAGCTTATGCCATTTGAAAATGATCTTTGTTTACATCAGTTTACAAGTAATTAAAAAATATAATATAATTCAAAGTCTGCTTAAAGAAGGAGTCTTGGGGACTCCCTCTACCTCACTCAACCTGCTCTGCCGTCTCTGTAGATCTCTCTCCGGCCGCATCGTGGGCGGAGTCTGGTGGTTCTTCACCCTCATCATCATCTCCTCTTACACGGCCAACCTGGCGGCCTTCCTCACCGTTGAGAGGATGGTGTCGCCCATCGAGAGCGCAGAGGATCTGGCCAAGCAGACGGAGATCGCTTACGGCACCTTGGATGGTGGTTCTACCAAGGAATTCTTTAGGGTGAGGGAGAACTTCGACCATTTAGAGCAGTGTTTCCCCACCCAGTTGGTCCACGTTTTTGCTCCCTCCCAGCTCCCAGCCAATCAAAAGCACAGGAGCTTCATTAAGGATGCGGTGCTCAACAACCACAAAAAAATTACCTACAAATAATTCAATGCAAACAGATAAAATCTTAAACTTTATTAATTTAAACCTGAACCATGTCTGTGATTTGTAAAAATGTGGACTGTCTGGTGGTGCTCAAGGGCCGGGTTGGGAAACACTGGCGTTTAGTAGTATGGCCTGAATCCTCAGTAGCCAGTGGCTACAACTGCAATTAGTAGCAAAATGGCAAAAACAGAACTGAATGAGTCAGTCAAAAAAAATGATACTTAAACGGAAAATGTCTGTGCGGAAGATATGTACAGATATGTTAAACAGCTTGTTGACTGATTTTTTTTTGTCCTGAAACCAATAAATTTGTTACATTATCATCCCAAGGCTTACCGTGGCAATCATGCTTCCAAAAGCTGCCTCTGTTTCAGATATTTTTCTGAAGATGGGGGCAGTCACACTCCTCACACCCTGACCGATTTGTTACGCACTGTACTGCAGTCCCCTTGACAAAAGCCACCTCTCGCCACTCTCAGAGGTCCAAGATCGCCGTCTTCGAGAAGATGTGGTCCTACATGAAGGCGGCAGACCCCTCCGTGTTCGTGAAGACGACGGACGAGGGCGTGCTCAGGGTGAGGAAGTCGAAGGGGAAGTACGCTTACCTGCTGGAGTCCACCATGAACGAGTACATCGAGCAGCGCAAGCCCTGCGACACCATGAAGGTCGGGGGTAACTTGGACTCCAAAGGCTACGGCGTGGCCACGCCCAAGGGATCGGCCCTAAGGTACGGCACGCCGCCGGCGATGCCAGCGGGGGTCGGCCGTAACCGTGATCGCAAACGAGCTGTGTTTACGCCAGCGATGTTCGGTAACAGCCCAGGTGGGAACTGTAATGCTGAGGTATTGTTTTGGCAGAGCCCTACAGAAATCCCTCGCCAGAAGCTTTGATGACTTAAAATTAACATGAGGATAAACTTTATTGATCCCAGACGGAAATTCTGCCGCATACAGTAACAATTACATAGATCACAGAAGACACATATAGTGCAAAATGGACAGCAAGTAAAACTGGAGCAAATTTAAAAAGTACACCGTACAGAAATAGAATATTATGAAAAACATAATATTAAGAAAATAAATATTTAAATATAAGAGTAATAGTAATGTTTGAGACTTGAGACATAAAATTATTTGTTCTCTAGTGATACAAGTGTTAGTTTACTTGTAGAAATTGTATTATTATAAGTGTACAAAATGGCAGATGCAGGAAAATAGTCTAATTGATATTCAAACTAGATACATTTTAAATAGATTTTTATATTAGTGATGTGAAGTTTCGAGAATAGTGTGAATATTCTTTTCAAAATGTTTTCATCAGGATTTTCCTCACCAGTGATTAAACTTTTTTATTAATTGAAATTAATAACTTTTTAAGAGCACAGCTTATCTGGGACTTGCAGCCATATGAAAATAGATTCTTTTAGCCTTAACCAAATATAACTCGCCGTAAATTACTACACCCTATTTCAAACTGAAAGAATAAGTAAGTATAATGTGTGAGAGCAAATGTGTCATTTTCGATTGAAAAGTTACATACAATGTTTAACTATATAATGTATAAAATTTAGTGTAATGTACACACAGTTTCCATATATATATAAATTGCCTGAAATGTAAATCAAATACAGAAATATATAGAGGCTCAACGTTTATTTAAAAATAGGCTACAAAATCATTAATTATCCTTAAAGATTTTAATTACCTCCCTGAGAGACAACTTCAAAGCAGTCGCGTTGTTTTGATGCACCTGACTAGACAGGAACTTCACAGCATCAGAACTCTCATGCAAATTAGCTTAAAATGTGACCCAGGAAAGAGATTAGATTTAATCAGCAATAACAAATGACAGCCAATAAAATACAAAAAAAAAATCACAGGGTTGGGATGATTGCTGCATGTTGTTTGATTTTTTGTTTGTTTGAGGTACTTATTCATGTTTTGGTTGTGTGGTATTATGGGGAACATTCAGTCGGATAGGATGCTGGCGGAGAAGAAATCCCCTCTAGCTATCTAAACTGAGTATTCATCTGACACCATGTTCTTTAAGGATTTATCTAACATCCTGTTCTTATTACAGAACGGAGAAATAGCCAAAGCATTTGCGCAGACCATAATCTGTAGATGGATAGGAATATCCCTCTAAATTTGCCATTTTTTCTCCGCCAGCCTCAACACTCACTGAATGTTCCTGCGATCTTGATAATATGTATGCATACAGCCAACAGTATTCTCAGCATCCAGAGTCACGCAGTGTCAACGTGTCTGTCCCATTCTTGATTATGTTTCGCGCCAATAAATGTAATCTCACGGGGACACTGCCACCTCCTTACCTACAGTTAGTATGTGGATTTTGCTGATTGCACTCCGACTTTCTTCCACGCAGGAAATATAACGAAAGTGGCTGTAGATAGAGAGACTATCGCCATTTTCCTCATAGCTGCTCTGCTGCGTCTCTAACAATACAGAGAGTCAGCTACAGGTGGGAGAGTCACAGGCAGAATAAATAAATAACTGACTCATACTTTTTGCCCTATGTAGCTCTTCTCCAGACAGCAGAAAATGTCAAATCGCTGTGAAGGAAAACAATTTGAAATACCTAAGCATTAATCATCATGTCAGTAGTGTTACGCACTGCCCTCCCACCTCGGAAATGAATCCTTAAGTCATTTGAATATGGAGGTTTCTTGTATCCAGTTAACCTTCGTATTTTGAGGACTATTTATTATCAAGAACAACATATATCACGTAAACAGATCCGATGCTTAGCTAATATTTCCTTTATTTTATAACTTCTTTACTGCGAGCTGTTTATTAACGTCTAATTTAATAACTCTGTTAACTGAGAAATATTTCTGATTGGAAAAGAGAATTTTTTAATTTTTTTTTTGTAACGACGTTTATGGTTTCAGATTTGCACCAGCTGCAGTAACCGGATCAAGATTTTTTTTTTGAAAAGTAGATTGTTTTCATATCTCACCATAAGTTATCTCACTAAATGCTGACCAGTATTATTTTATCATTTCAAGAAACCCAGTAAACCTGGCAGTGTTAAAACTGAACGAGCAGGGACTCTTGGACAAATTGAAAAACAAATGGTGGTACGACAAGGGAGAGTGCGGCAGCGGGGGAGGTGACTCCAAGGTCAGCCTGAGTATGAGCAACCCAGTGCTAACCGCAACATTGGGGGGTAACCGGCAGTCACACTTGCAGAAACACGTCGGCTGCAAATCCCCACATTGCCTGTAGGGCGGCGCTGTTGAGCCACCAGGCACAGCAGTTGGCATCCACTCTCCAGTGGATAAGCCGGGGCTTATTACACCTCAGTTCGAAATAATGGGCTTACTTGAGTTTGGATCGGCCTCTTTGCAACGTCGCTCAATTTGCACCTGCTGATATTTAATGGGCTTCTACTGGGGACGAAAATGAACCAGACTGGTCACGTCATTTGCATAACCGAGTGTTTACAGTGTGCCGGTTACCCAAAGTGATATAGTAATACACATCTTGCAGTAGGGAGGAAGGAAATAAGGCTAGATGGAGTATTAATTCATATCACTTTGTCATTAACTTTCAGATTTTTATTATGATACCTTTAACATGTAAATACGTAAAGAACCTATTTCTGTTTATTTACTGTGTCCAAAATAACATAAAATAACATGGATAATGTTATTTATGTTATTTCCCTGACTGAAGAATCCCCGTAAACCTCGCGGTGTTGAAGCTCAATGAGCAAGCCGTCTTAGACAAACTGAAAAACAAATGGTGGTACGATAAAGGGGAGTGTGGAAGCAAGGACTCCGCAAGAAAGGTCAGTCCAAGAGTCGCTCTTTCCTAATACACAAGACGTCGTTAATGCCCTTAAAGAAAAGGCTCTCCTTCCCCTTATCCCGGGCACTTTTCCACCTCATCTCCAGCCTGCCATTCACCTCAACGAGTCGCCTCTTCATCTTGACCCCTGTGAGATGCTGCATTGTGGTTTGTGCGACTGCGATTTCACCGATGCACCGACCCGCCATCAGTCTCATTTGGACAAATTGTCCTCTCGACGATGGAACATCTGCATTTTTAATTGCTCTGAGCCCGTAAATACGGAGTCAAATAAATTACCTTCTTGTGCCAGTTAACTGACGTGCCCAAAAAGTTACACCTGTCTTCTGTGCAACTATTAATTAAAATAACAGATTTTTTCGGTTAATGGCAGATCATTACTAGTTTTTGTGATAATGTTGAAGTAATAGTCAATTATGTCAATAAATTCAGCACAAATGTGTGCAAGTTCTTTACAGTTACATTTTTACATTAAAAAATCAAAACCTTTTGCCATATTTGTAACTGTCCATCTGAAACAGTCATTCCGTAATGGAAGGTACACAGTTACTCGGTAAAAACATCGTAGCACCATCCAGGCACAAGCATATAAATGTCAACATGAAGGAAAAAAATCAATTGACGTAACCAGTGTTTATATCGGCAGTAAACAGCGTTCCGCTAAAGCATCCTTAAAATCGGCCTGCATGCTTTCTTACAGAAGCGGATCGATTACCTAAACTGAACATAGACCGTGTTTCCTTGGCCTGGGTCGCAGTCCCCAAACCAGAATGCGCGTCAGTCATGCCCACAGCCCCTCTACGGCGATGCCATGATTACCGTGGCCACATGTAACCATGTAGCCAACAGTAACAGCGTTAAATAAACGCCATTGAGCCTTGCTGCCCTCCTTTTTGACAGCGAATGGGACGTGAAGATTGGTCCCGTTAGCAGTTAGCGTCAGATTTTAGCTTCTCCTCACCGCATGGAATTAGCGAATCTGTCACTGAAGAGCAGAACGTCCTAAACCCACAACCACAAATTCTAGCATTATGAAAATGAAATTCCGCTATTTGAAGATGGAAAAAAAACGTTATTTTTACTTTCATTGTTTAATCGTATTAATGGATTGGTGGTTTATGACTTGACAGGAAGCCCACTCAGGATAGTTAGCTAGAACCTTCTGATAAGCTTGTGATATGTGCATGAATGCATGTTCCTGTCGATAAAAAGTATATTTTGCTTGTCTTGTTTTTCTTTACACTTTAGACATGGTTAAATATACCAGAATTACACTTAATTAATAATCTTTTTCATATCTATTATTTTTGACTAGATTAAACATTATTCTGTATTTTCTAATTAAAGTTACTGTTGATATAATTACAATGCATGCATTTGATGGCTTGATTAATGTATTTGATTAGCGATGTTATTAACGAAGGTTGCATTTATGTTCCTCTGTGTGTCGACGAGTGCTTTTCCGTCTGCTTTTCCTTGTGACCCCGTTTCTCTCTGTCTGTAGGACAAGACCAGCGCTCTGAGCCTCAGCAACGTGGCTGGGGTGTTTTACATCCTCATCGGAGGACTGGGACTGGCTATGCTGGTGGCCCTGGTGGAGTTCTGTTACAAGTCCAGAACCGAGTCCAGGCGAATGAAGGTGTCCGTCTGCGATCCTCAGACCTCTCACTTCATGTCATTGAGTACCTGTCACGTGTAGAACAGAGGGGACTACACGCTGGAGATGCAGAGATCAGCTTATTATACCAAGGTGCAGTGACGCAGTGCGAAAACTTCAGTGCGGAAAAATGCCAAGGGCCGGGAGGTTCTCCATTGTCATGATCTCGGCTAGGGTCCAATATCCAGGGTCCAAAAGGGGCAAGACAAAAACCGTAGTCAGGATCTAGCGATATTTCAGTACAAACCAGGCAAATAATCCAAATTGTGGTCGAAATCCAAAAACCAGAAGAAGAGTCATACACAGAAGCTAGAATATACATGGACCACATAAACTAACAATCTCGCAACCAGACACATGCCCAGGTAGATAGATATATATATAGGCACAAACCCTAATGAGTACCAAATGCATGTAATGTCCTACTAGCTCATCAGTCAGATAACAAACACCTATTATACCAAAGGCAGTTGGGATGCAGGCACATTGCATGCTGGGAAATGGAGTTCCATAACTCTGGGTCGTAACAGTACCTGTGCTGATGGTGATCCAAAGGTGTATTTATGTCTGCCCTCATACTTTGCCATGATTTTCCTCTCCATTGTCACCTTTGCGTGTCTCTCGCCGTCCCTGACACTGTGCATGTTTTCTTTGTGTTGCACTGCGTTGATGACCCTGAGTTTCCCATGCTGTGTATGTGTCCTGTGCAGGCAGTTGCGGACAGCCACCCGGGCCCCCCCAAAAACCGGGGCCCCATGGAGACAGAATTTTCATTTTTGAATGTAACATAATATGATCATTTACATTATGTCTGTTATTTGCATTTTTAGTTACAGTTTTCAGGACAGACAAAGTCTCCTCCCCCCCCTCCTGGCTGTAATGGTATATTCCTTCCCACCCAAATTTCTTCTGACAATGGAGCCCACTGGTTGTTTCACTGCCAAGCAAACCGACACAAAGTAGCCAAACAGAACATGAAAGCCGAGCAAAGATACAAGTCTTACAATACATGCCCCGTGTCTTTGATACTATCCCGCTGGAATGGTAGACAAAATGCGAACAGACGAGAAGAGAACACTGTTAAACGAACGTATTGTACAAAAATTGAAGACTAATGTTAGCCCTTAGCCTCAGGGGCCGAGTGAGGCTGGGGGTATGCAGGGCTGCAGCCTAAGCTCATGGCAAAAGCTTCGTCATTAAGCTTCTTTAATTTGGCCGATCGATCCATGAGCATGATACCCCACCCCACCCCCAATTGGTGAATTTTACCAACAGCTCTCCAGCCCCCCTCCCTGATCAGTAAGCTTTACTACTAACACCCCCGCACTTTGATTAGCATGTTATTGATGTTCCGTCGTCTCTAATTGCCCCTCATTTTTCTTTCGCCTCCAAAAATAGCTGAATGGCCCACTTAGAACCCCCCCCCTTACCCCTGTCACCCTAGGGCCCCCAGAGAAGCGGGGCCTCCATCCAGAGTGACCCCCCACCTCATGCCCTGGGACAGGCTGCAGACTGACTCTGACTGTGTTGGATAAGCAGTTTGGAACATGGAGAGATGGACACATCACTTCCTGCATGGACACCTGACATCTCAACTGGAACTTAATTATGCATCAAAAACGACTTGTTTTGCAAACATTATTGGCAGGTGAAAAATGTTGGTAGTTAGCTTACCGACATTGCTGGGTGTGTGTCTCAAATCTTAGGTAATTTAAAATAGAATATCAAAAACAAAACTTTGCATAGCTGAAATGAGTTACTTGGGCTGTGTTTGTGCTTGTGTACTATCTACTGGTCTCCGATGAAACTCATCAAAAGCATCTAATTGCATTTTTTTGATGGCTTTGTATAATAGCGCATCTTTTGAGCAAATTGGCTGCTTGGTTAGATTGTGCAAACACAAAGCAGAAAGTCAATGTAAACCTGAAATTAGTGTAGCCGCACCAGTTATGGTGAATTGCAATCATGGAAAACAGTGGCTCTGTGCTGCTGAATTTTGACAGATAAGGCTTCTTGTGAGCAAACGTTGCCGGGAAGTAGATGCGTTGCACTGTGCTTCCGATTAATTTAATCAAAAGAGAGCAGCTTTGCGGCGATTATTTAGTGTGCAGAAGGACCTCAGTGCCGGGGACAGCAAAGGCTGCCGTATGTTCAGTTCCCTGTCTGTCATGTCTGCATTTTTTCCTTCCATAAGGAGAATCTTTGTCTCAATACGTTCGGTGAAAACATTATCTGTCCATCTGCCTTGTGAGTACCCTGTTTGGAGGGGCGTAGGATATATTAAAAAGCATAACGTATGCAGACCCGTGTATTTAAGTTGATAAAAGATACAGCCGGCAGCCATAGAGAAGCAGAGGTGTCTTGTCTGATGAAAGGAGGCGATGTTAAGATGGTGACTGCTCTGCCCCTGAACCGGCGTCCCTCAGTATTCCTGAGTGTCATTTGGCATCTGTATTATTCATGAATCGGAAACTCAATCCGGGATTTAAGCAGTAAATGCAAGAATGTAAGCATTCAGCAGCTTGTTAGACAGGAATATTTTGGCCTTTCTCTGTTTTGCAAACTGCCTTGTGGTGCTTTTGAAAGACACCCCCCCCCCCATTTCGATTTCCTCCCTCTGCTTTCATCTAGGAAGATGGTGTGTGTGCATTATGTCCTGCTTACCGGCCTGTGTTATCTACAGGACATGTTACCTGATGGTCTGCAGCTGTGCGATTTGGTGCCTGTTCATTCAGCTCGTCGGCACAAACGCGACTTTGTAACGGCGTCCGTCACCCACCACCATCAAACTAATCATCCTGCATCAGCTGAGAAGCGAGAACCTCTCAGATCCTTCAGAGCGTGTTGGGATTATAAAATGTATACATCGGCTATTATACATCGGCTATTATACATCGGCAGAGTGCTATTAAACATTCGGATCATTAGCCGGCTTCACACAGCTCTGGCAGGGAAAGTGAAAGTGGGCTGCAGGCAATATATATTCTGCAGTTTCTCCTGATATCTTGCTCACAACTTAGTGGACTGTGAGCTAAGTGCTGTACAGATGCCCCAAAATCATTGAGAGATCTTTCATGCTGCTTATTTCTTTCTAGAATGTACAACAGCCATTCTGAATGTAATTCTTCACTTTGCCAGACTTCGAAAAAAAGGGGCCATTACTTGTCTGGTAGCCATCGTTCGAAAATGAAATTCAGGCATTTGTCAAGAAGGGTTGAAACCGCAACAGCATGTTCCTCAGTGGAATCTTGAAATCAGAAATATGATGTGGGAGGAGAAATTCTGCATTCACCATTCTGCTGTGCGAAATCCCGGCTATTGACTGCTATTGTAGGTACCCTTGCAGAAACTGCAGCAAAAGCCTTATGGCATTAACATTAAGAAGTCTGCATTGCAGTGGGTGTCTGGTAGTTCCATCCTTGGCAGGGGTGTATACAGGGGCGGGGTCACAGGGGCACTGGCCCCAGCTGAAAACTGATTGGTCCTCCCTTGCTATTCACCGATTCAAAACATATCACTGGCTTATGATAAGGTTAGCCCCTCTGTATGAATTATAACCCCTCTGATGCCCCCCCCCCCCCACCCCCACCTTAAAAAAAATTCTACAATCACCCCTGATCCTTGGGTTCTCTGAGGCATGACATCCTGGAAGATAACCTTCATAGCATGGGAGAAAAACTACATCATTAAAGGCAAACTATTGGACAGACACACACCATATGGCCAAAACTGTTATGGCGGGGCATGACAAAGGAAGCCAACGGAAACACAGGGAAAAGCCACAATGAACCACCAAGGAACAGATTGAGATCAGGTACTGAAATACACTGCTAATTAGACACAGTACAAGACAGGTAAGAACCATAACCAAATCAACCAATCATTATGGGCACAAGGAACGTGGGGTACTTTACAATTGACACACACTACAGACTAGGAAATGGGAACAAACACGGAGAGCTATCGTAGACAAGGCATGGGCAGGGTAACCATAAACAAGACATTAATTAACCATACAGACACCAGGCGATAAAACCAACATGTAACAGAAATGGGAGGCCTGACTCAAGCCAGCCTAAAACTCATGACGGGAGGCCTGCCTCAGGCCAGCCTAAAACTCATGACGGGAGGCCTAAGATGACGGGAGGCCTGCCTCAGGCCAGCCTAAAACTCATGACGGGAGGCCTGCATCAGGCCAGCCTAAAACACATGACGGGAGGCCTGCCTCAGGCCAGCCTAAAACTCATGACGAGAGGCCTGAGATGATGGGAGGCCTGCCTCAGGCCAGCCTAAAACTCATGACGGGAGGCCTGCCTCAGGCTAGCCTAAAACACATGACAGGAGGCCTGCCTCAGGCCAGCCTAAAACTCATGACGGGAGGCCTGCCTCAGGCTAGCCTAAAACTCATGACGG